ATTAAATTTCATTTGGTCATTAAAGTATTACAAATTTCGTGTCATATGATTCAGTATCATCATAAGTAATTACAACTTTAGTAGCTAATTAATAATTCCTATATTAATGACTGTTTTAGTAGTACTAACTAATGCCAAATTGGTGCCTTTAATATATAGTTATTATTGATTCATGTATTACATATTGGCTCTTAAACCGAATTATTCATATTTGCTGATTATGATATAAAATTATATATCGAAACGTAGGTAAAATATACCGTTTTCATATACTTAAAAATCCTTTTGCTTGATATTATATTGTTATTCACACTTGTCATTCAAATATTATTAAAAGAAGGAATTATCAAGATCAAAAAAATGTCTTAAAAGTCTTGCATACGTTTCGAGTATACATTTGATCCATCTTTAGTAATGAACAAATATTGTATTATAAATTTATTATTTTTTAATTATTTTATTCTAGTTATTCCTCAATTTGTTTCAAACTTGATGTTTTAATATCTTTTTTTTCACTTTATGTTACGTTTTAATTTACAGTCGTTATCTAATTAAAACCAGAAAAATATTATATTCAAACAAATATAATGGAGGGCTTAGAATTTTGCATACGTTTCGGGTGTGCATCCGATTCATCTTCAGTTCATTAATGCGAAAATAATTTTAAAAAATGTATTAAACATAAACTATATATAATAAACGTGAACATTTAGCATAATTAATATAAAATTCAAGGAATGTCTAAAATATATGAAATAGTTAAAAAAATAATTGGATATAGTACGAAATAAAATATTGTTAAAAATTTATAATAAGTAAATACAAAAACTTATGCTATATAAATGTGTAATTGCAAAATTGTTCAAAACAATATTAATGTCTTTGTACAATTTTTCTCAATAATTGATTATTATTTTTATATATAGTGCCTTTTATTTGTATATATAGCAGTAAAATGAGTCTAATTAGATATCAAAACGTATCTAATATTAAATATGAAAAGCTTTTTATAATATAATGTATAACGAATTTGCAAGCGTTCATTAAAATATCAAACGAAGGCGGTTTAGAAATGTATATATATATATATATATATATTATATATATATATATATATATATATATATATATATAATTACCATTTATATTATTCCCCAGGTTAAATAAATCACAACGTTATCATTTTTTTCTTTTAAATCCGTCTGATAAAAAAGTTATGATTTACAACTCCCGGTTTTTTGTTTAAGTAAATTAATAACATTGTTTTTACGGAAAACTACCTGTAGCAATAAAAAAAAAAGATTTTATTCGGATTATAATCTTGTATTTTGGCAAATTATTAATAGTTATAAATTATATATAATAATAATAAATAATAAAACAGAATTTATATATGTGCTTTAACCTAAATATTTTTATACTATATAGTTCGAATCTGTTCCTGATTGTAGATAAATTTGTTTGAAAAGTATATAGTTTTATATTTTTTTAATTTAACAAATGTATTAACAAATGTCGTACTAAAATATCAGAGTCATAATTTAAAGTTTTATATTTTTAAAATTGAAATGACACTCTACATATCGTTCGTTAAAATTGTTATGAATCGTCTATGAAAACTTGCATCTGTCGACTAAATTGCTAATTTCTAGCTTTTATTTGAAAAGAATATAATTTAATTTTTTTTTAATTCAATGCAAGTATTGAAAAATGTCATATTTAAATACCAACATCCTAGTTCAAAGTTTTATATTTTTAAAATATATTCAAATAACACTCTACATGTCGTTCGTTACAATTGTTATGTATCGTCTATGAAAACATGCTTTTGTCCTCTAAAATGCTAAATTCTAACTAAATTTGTTAGAGAAGTATATAATTTTATATTTTTTAAATTTAATATGTATATTAATAAAGGTCATACTAAAATATAAGCATTCTAATTCAAAGTTTTATATTTTTAAAATATATTTAAACAACACACTACGTATGGTTAGTTAGAATCGTTATGAATGGTCCATGCAAACGTGCATTTGTCCACTAAATTGCTAAATTCTAACTAAATTTGTCAGAAAAGTATATAATTTTATATTTCTTAAATATAATATATGCATTCAAAAATGTCATACTCAAATTTTAGTATCCTGATGTAAAGTTGTATATTTTTAAAGTATATTTATACAACACTCTGCATATCGTCTGTTAGAATTGTTATGGGTTGACAGTGCAAGCATGCATTTGTCCACGAAATTACTTAATTCTAGCTAAATTTGTAAAAAAGTAAATAATTTTATATTTTTTAAATTCAATATATGTATTAAGAAATGTCGTACTAAAATATCAGCGTCTTAATTCTATATCTTATATTTTTACAATATATTTAAATAACACTCTACATATCTTTCGTTAAAATTGTTATGTATCGACAATGCAAACGCGTGTTTTTGTCCACTAAATTCTAGCCAAATTTGTTAGAGAAGTATATAATTTTATATTTTTTAAATTTAATATATGTATTGAAGAATGTCATACTAAAATTTCAGCGTACTAATTCAAAGTTTTATATTTTAACTTCCCGTAGGGTAAGTTATTGTAATGGGCCGAAAATCGGAATTGAAAATTTTTACATTTCTCGACGTTTTGAAGGTTTCTGAACGTTTTGGTATACCTCAGAAAAAATGGATGTGTGTGTGTGTGTGTGTGTGTGTGTATGTATGTATGGATACAAATTTTCGTCCACGTTTTCGGGCGTACGGATCAACCGATTTGAATGGTTTAAAAAACATTCGATTCCTATTAATAAGGAGAAGAGCTGATTAGTTTTTGGCAAAGACAGGTCCAGCAGTTACGGAGATAAGGAGCAAAGAGTGCAGAAAATAGAAATCGAGTTTTTGAGAGAACGGAGCATCCGATTTGAATGATCTAAAAAACTTCCATTAGTAATGATTGGGAGAAAGGGTATTAGTTTTCGCAAAGGCAGGCCCAGCCATTTCGGAGATACAGAGCTAAATGTACAAAAAATGGAGTTTTTGGGAGAAAACTAAGCGTCCGATTCAATTGATTCAAAAGAACTTTCTGCTTGTTTTAACAAAATAATTATTTGGAAAAAAAAAATTGTACCATTTTTTTTTTTTTTTTTTTTTTTTTTTTTTTTTTTTTTTTTTTAATTTTTTTGTATATCGAAAATAATTCAGATTTTATTTTTAATTCTGACTATAGTTCTAATATACTTTAAACAAATAATTTCAATTCTGCAATTCAGTTTATTATATATTATTAAATATTAGACAATAATACAATATTTATAATAATCTATTTGAAAACATTCAATATTCCTCGAACGTTTCGTTACGGTACGGGAAGTTCCAGCAATTTGCCTTAAGGCACGATGCCACCCACCCCACTAGTTTAAAATTGAAATAACACTCTACATATCGTTCGGTAAAATTGTAATGTATCGGTCCATGAAAGCGTGCATTTGTCTACTAAATTGATAATTTCTAGATTTGTTAAAGTTATAATTTTATATTTTTTAAATTTAATATTTGTATTCAAAAATGTCATACTGAAATTTCAACATTCTAATTCAATTTTTTATATTTTTAAACTATATTTAAATAACACTCTAAATATAGAGTCAGCATATTGTTCGTAAATATTGTCCATGCAAATGTGCATTTGTCCATTAAAATGCAAATTTTTAGCTAAATTTGTTAGAGAAGTATATAATTTTATATTTTTAAAATTTAATATATATATTAACAATTGTCATACTAAAATATCAAAGTTACAATGCTAGGATTTATATTTTTAAAAAAATTTGAAAATACTTTAAATATTATTAGAATAGTCAAAAACTGTCTTTTGTTTTCTGAGCTTCAAATTATATAATCTGACTAATTTGCTCCTTTATAAGATTTTTAGTTTTATATTTGATGAAAAAGCTCTTAAAGAAAACGTGTAGTACATTTCGTCCTTGACTATGACCTTGAATACTCTTTCAAAATGCTTTTGGACCGCAAAAAAAGTCGTCTTGAATATTGGAGAGGATTCTAGTGCTTTTTTAAAAAATCAACCAGAATGTATGGATGAAAAGCTGTGGCATTGTATGAAATTATTTCGACTGTTGACAAAAATTCTTTAAATAACTTTAATCTTTTTATCTTGAATTTATAAATAATGCTACTGATATTATATATATATATATATATATATATACATAAAGTTGTTTACATTTTGATAAAACGCTAATTTAAATTTAAAATCGTGTAAACAAAAGTGAGGCGTCCGTCGGCTTTGCTTACGTGAAACAATAAAAAACTCATTTTTGTTTACAAGACCTTCGCTAATTTCAATCCGAATAATTATACAGTATATATAATATATATATATATATATATATATATATATATATATAACCCTGGCGGTAGCCAAAAATGACCGCAGTTACAAATATCATAATTTATAATTAAAAGTAAAAATTTGTCTGCTAAGTTCCAAAAAAATAAGGTTACAGGTGACAGTACACACAAAATGTTTTGTTTAATATTCTTTTTATTTAAAATATATACCAAACCAGGTTTTGTGCAAATTACAGCATTCTGCTACTAAAAATGTAAAAAATATAGCAAAAATTATATTACAAAACATTAATTACTTAAATTTATATTACAAAAGTTCGTCTCAAAGTACTTCGATTGGTGTTTGTACAGAACTTTTGATGAAAATGTGTTTTTTATGTATATATTTACAATTTGTGAAAATTGTATCATTCTACAACTATAAATGAAAAAGTTCTTCAAGACTTAGTCAAAAGTTCAAATTTCCATTGTTGAGTTATTATGTAAATCTGAAGTCTCATTGATTAATATTAAATACTTGCAACTTGCGTCAAGGTGTCTACTAATATAATAAATCGTGAATTATATAAAATTGTTACACTAGTTTTTGCTTCAATTTTAGATTCTAGTTTTTATATATTTTTTTATTTTTTATTTCAGATATGGGCTGATTTTCTGAAACAAAACACCTGAGATGGATTTCACCGAGGCGATTTTATCCTTCGACAGTTCTTCTGCAGAAGATTGCATTTTGCAATACCACGATTATATAATTCCACAAGATGGTAAGAATTATATAAATTAAGTGTATACAAGACATTAAATGAGCTAAATATATTAAAAACTAAAAAACTCATTACTATGATTAAAAATCTTCCTTCCTCTGCAGCTTAGAGACATCAAATCCAAAATAGTGCAAATTATAATTTACATGTATACTAATTGTTTTAAATTTTAAAATTATTTTTTTTACTAATACTAATAATTATTTCCAAGAAGTTTTTTTTTATTCATATTTATACATTATTTTCACATCTCAGACAGACAGAAGTGCCTGGTATGAGAGATTATGAAAAACAATTTCATATTTTATATATACGTTTCATTTGCCTATTTCATTAATATAATATACATTATAATTAAAAGATCTTTCTATAAGTTCTTACTACTTGTCAACAGTGCAAAATGCCACCTACACCTAATTTAATTACTATATCTTCCTAACTTTGCCCTTAACCCTAAATTTCTAACCACTTTCCCTAAAAGGTGGCTTTGGTCCCAATTAAAAATTAATCCTCCTTATGGAAATACTTTACTAATTATGCGAAAATTAACTAATTAGCCAATTAGGAAAAGGGATACTCTTAACCCTTTGTAATTATAATATAATAATAATAATCTTATATAATTAAGAGAATTAGAATAAATACTTGAAAAGAACACCATTTAAATAAAAATATTTGTGCAATTTTTGAATAAAATATTGCATAGAAATATATTTACTACGCGAGCGAAAATTTAGGGTTGAATAAAAATGTTTATTAATGTAATTTTTGAATATTAAAAATAAAATATTTTTACATATATGTATACATTTTTCAATAACGTATTAAAAAAAATTATTTAAAACCTATTGGTCCAAAAATTCTAAAAAAATGCTATTAGACACTTTAATCAAAAATAACTTGTTTTAAAGTTAAATTTAAGCCTGTTATTCAGAAAATCTCGATCGAAATAAACATTTATTGACTGAAAGGTAGTGCCTCGTCATCGTGTCTTAAAACAAATTGCTGGAACTTCCTAAACTGAATCATCATTTTTGGCACTTTGTACCCCTCATTACCAAAACTACTAGACCTGCCTATGCTAAAAACTAATCAGCAAGTCTCTTTATCAAAACGAAACAAATGTTTTTTTGAATCATTTGATCGGTTGATCTGTGTTCTCAAAATCGTCGACAAAAATCCGCACATACTCATTCATTTTTCTAAAGTATGCCAAAATGTTCAGAAATCTATGAAACGTGAAAACTAATAAAAAAAATATTTTCGATACCCTACGGCGTATCCGAAATTTCAAATACTGCGATTCAAAATTTCGGAAAAAGTAATATTGTATGTGTACAACCCTTAATTAAAATTAAAAAAATTTTTAAGTAAAATTCAAGCTTTGCCAGAAGTTGGAGAAAATATTAACGAAAATTCAGTAAAAAACATTCATTGAGTGGGATGAAAAAAATTATTTGATCACTAAAATTATTATTATGAAAAAGGGGTTTGTGGTAGGAGGGTGAAAATTTAGGGCTGTATGTGAGATATTTAAGCTAGATGAAATTGAAGGAATGAAAAATAGATGTTGACTGATTTTCCTGCTAAGTGTGATTATAAAATATAAAATTTCATAAAAATCAGTCAAAACATTATGACCAAAATTTTATATCTATATATATAATATTAGGGTGGTCCTGAATATGGACATTTTCGTATTTCCTTGCTCCCAAGGGCTCAAATGGTTCCAAATTGATAAAAAAAAATTCTCTGAAAGTTTTAGCTCTTAATATTGTCTTTTAGATAGTGCGCAGTTCAATCAAAGTTTTGTCTGGAATCAGCATGAGAAAATTTTCAAAAGTTTTAAAAATATTTTTGAGATATAACTTAGCGAATAAATGAATGAGTTTTATTCAAAATACGACGCTCTACAAAACAAATTATAAAAAACCTATTTTATAGAGCATCGAATTTATATGACACAAATTGTCACTTAATTCATTTGTTGCTAAGTTATACCTAAAAAATTTTTTTTTCATTTTCAAAATCTTTTCCATGCTATGTCCATACGAAGTTTGATTAAATTGCGCTCTATCTAAAAGCTAATATTAAGAGCTTAAACTTTCAGAGAATTGTTTTTTATCAATTTGGAACCATTTGAGCTCTTGGGAACAAGGATATTCGAAAATGTCCATTTTAAGGACCACCCTAATATACATATATATATATTTATAAATATATGTATATCTTCATAATGTATACATATATGCATTTTATGTTTACATTAGATGATTGACAATTTATTTACCCAGAAACATCACGCCTGTCTCGCAATGTAAACAGAAAAGGCTTCGGGCTTTTCTCCAAAGGCGACATAAACTCATTTCCTTTACAGAGATGATCGATGGCTTTGTGTTTTATTCTTAGAAATTGATAAATGCATTAACAATGATTTATAATAAACGAAATAATTGACCCAAAACGACCAAAAGGAAAAGATCTTTCTAACCCTCTATCACCCTATTCAACAGCAAAGCTCATCGTATAGTTTTTGCAACTAAGTCCAGATTCTCATTTTAAATTAAATTATTTTTTGTATTTTTTTCTCAGGTTTGTTCTGCAATTGGACCTGGGACTCCTTACTATGTTGGCCACCAACAAAGGCCAATTCTGGCATCAAACAAAAATGTTCCCTGGTCAAGGGCCAACGTGGATTGGACCCAACACGTGAGTATAAAATTGCGAATTTAATTATAAATATGAAGAAAGATATGGTGGTTTTTATATTATATAATAAATACGGCAGGGATAAATTTCTAATACTGAGACCAAAAATCTACTTAAAAAATATTGTGAAAAAGTCATCTAAAATTTTAAGCTTTGATTTGTAAATATTAGGAAAAAGACATCGCGATTAAACATTATTAACTGTTACATTTTCATATAAATATATTAAAGGTGTCATTCCTAAACAACTCTTTATTATTATTTCATTAAACAAAAAGTAATATTTATGCTTAAAAAATAAAATACTGCAATTTAATACTAATTTTCACAAATTACATATTGCGATATTTAATTTAATGCAATAAAATAATTAAACTAGTGAGGCGCATGGCATTATGCCTTGAGGCAAATTGCTGAAACTTCCCGTACCAAAAATTATTATTTTTTTTTAAATATTAACATTTTTGGAAAAAAAATACTTTGAAAAAGTTAGATTTTTGAGAAACTATAAATTATATTTTAGAAAAAAGACTGAAAGAAAATTTATTTTAAAATATTTTGGAAATTATGATTTTTTTTTCAAAGCAATCGTACTGCTTTAACTGCATAGAGACGAAATATCGAAGCGCGTAAGCGCTGCGTCGCCGTCTAACGCATAAACATTGGTACGGAACCCATAGGAATGTAAACAAAATTTATACTCATTGTTAAAATCTCTATAAAATATCTGATAATTTGATGTGCATATGTCTAATGATCATTTTTGATCGCCAAATGGCATTTTTTTTAACTTTTTTCATTAGATCTCCGAAACCGCTAGACCTGCCTTCATAAAAATTTGATCAGTGTTTCATCTTGTCCATACAAATAAAATGTTTTTTGAAATATTCAAATCGGACGCCCCGTTCTCCTAAAAACTGAGTTACCGTTTTCGGCACTTTTTGCCCCGTATCTTCGGAACGGCTAGACCTGCCTTCGCCAAAAACTAACCAGCACGTCTCCTTATCAATACGAATCGAATGCTAAAATTTTCCGAAACCTTTGAAAAGTAAAGATCGCAAAAATTTTTCATTTTCGATTTTTTTGCGATTACTATAAGTACCCCACGGGAAAAGTTAATTGTTATGAATAAAATACTTCTACATTTCTTACAAAAATTTTACACTTTTCTGCCATTTACAAAAAAAACGGCTCGGTCGATCGTCGCGCAAAACTGACAAACGATAGCCTCTATTGAGTCCTAGTTCAATTTTTCACACACACACACACACACACTTTTTCCAAATTTGGTCTCATTCAATTCAGAATGACTTGAAGAAAATATAGAATTAGAAAATCGGATTTTCTGTCGAAAACAAACTTCTCCTTCCAAAACTAATATTTCTACTATTCAATTTTTTACTACACGAGGAGCACTATACTCAATTTTTCACATTTCTCCGAACACTTATCAGAAATCTAATTTTATTTATCACTTTCTGTTCGAAGGAAGTAACTTTTCTTTCTAAGGACTTAATCTGTGGAAGTTTATCTGCAGAATTGCGGACTTCCTAATACTTCCCTTAATAAAGTATGAATAAGCCCTGATTGCTTTCAGGTCGTCACATTGTCATTGTCTCCTTTAATATGCAAAACGTGACACAGGAAATAATTGATTATTATTTGAAATACTAGGTCAATAGACAAAGGGCGATGGATAATTGTCAATTAACATATTTTAATTAGCAACTATTATTAACTTACTGAAGAAGAAGTTTGTGTTTTCGTCAAAAAATCCGATTTGCCGATTTTATGCTTTCTCGACGTTTCAGGTCGTTCTGAATCGAATAAGACTAAATTTGACAAAAGTATGAGTGTGGACAGATGAACTTGCCATAAGGCAAAATGCCACTTTCAATCAGTTTTAATATAATAATTTATGATTCATTCCGATTTGAATGATCCAAAAAGCATTCAATTAGTAATGATTGGGAAAAGAGGTGATTAGTTTTTGGCAAAGACAGGCCCCGCCATTTCGAAGATACAGAGCTACATGTGCAAAAAATGGCAGTTTTTGAGTGAACTAAGTGTCCGATTTGAATAATTCAAAAAACATTTTAGTTGTATTAACAAAACAATTGCTTTTGAGGATAAAAAATTATTACAACTTTTTTTATTTTCCATAATATATTTTTATAATTTTGAATTAAAAAATCACAAGATAGTAAGAATAATGAAAGTTATACAGTATTTGTAATAATATATTTGAAAACGTTTAAAATTTCTCGAATATTCCATTACGGTACGTGGAAATTCCAGCAAATTGCCTAAGGCACGATGCCCATACACCACTAGTTTTTGTTTTTAAGTTGCAATAATTCTATTTCTAATATCTACGTCAGTATTTGATCTCTAATATCTAAACTAGCATTATTATTAAGTTTCTTTCAAGTATAATTTTTGAATATTAAACTAAATAATCGATAATTTTGATATTTATTATCATTATAGATTAATGGAAATATTTAGCATGTCTCAAATTTAATTTTAGAACAGGATTTCTCCTGTTTACACGAAAACTTATCTTATATTTTGGATTTTGTAAAAGTTTCATGATCAAGTTCGTATGGGAAAATGTTTATTGCCAAAAGATTCTGCATCGATTTTGTTTGTTTTGCAGAAAATGCATTTGGCTCGATCGTGAAAATTATACATACAGACATTTAATATATATATATATACTAGCTGACCCGACAGACGTTGTTCTGTACCTACGTCAACAATTTTTCAATATTTTATACTAATATTTACTGCTTAGTTAAAAATAATAATTACTGTTTTTTGAATTACTATTACACCAATATATAAGTGAGTTGAATGTAGAACTGTTTCAAATAAAATGATTGTTCTCAATTCCCACAGTTAACACTTTAATTATTTATTTAACAAATATTAAAAAATGTTCAATAAAATTGTATATTAAAAAATTAAACACTGCGATTTATAGAACAAATTTATTTCCAATAGCTCAATTTATTTTATTGCATTTAAGGGTTATATAGTATTTTTAGCCATACCTGTAGATGTGGATGTATAAATGAATGATTTTTTGTTTATTCACGACTAACAACTAAAATTGATTTTCCAAATTTATCACACTAAAAATGATCGTCTGCCTTTTTGATTTATGGTCATAGCATAAGATACTCATGTTGAAAATTGAAAATCTTTTAAAAAAGTACAACAAATTCAGAAAGAATTAATATATAGCATTGGCGGCAAAGGTGCAATATCACCTTTTATTTTCTCACCCAAAATAATTGCTTCAATAATGTTGCCTATAATTTTTATAATTTTGTACCATATTTAAACTGGCTTTAAGTAATTTTAATATCTAAATTGCATTTTTTTCTCTAATAAATCAATATACATTATTGCTTAAGTTTATATTTGAAGTGAATTATTTGTCAAATCCTGTTCACATGTGCTCTATTCAACTTACGATCAACAAAATTATTGCTCTGTAATTTTTTTTTACTGTGCTCCAATTTACTTGATATTTTGGAAATAGGCTAATCTTTATCTTAGTTTCAATGTTTTTAACAATTTGCACTCCGTCACCATCCACAGCAATAATTGGATTTATTACTCTTTTAATTCTGATTTTATCAGAACTTGTAATACACTATTTTAAAGGTGATTAAATGAGCTACAACTTTCTCTATCATTAATTTTACCGTAACTTCTCTTATTGTAAAACGGCGAAGGTGTTAAAGGGCTCGAAAGACCTCTGGTTGGACAGCTCCTTAATTAATCATACATCTATCAATATTTGTGTAACGAAAAAATAATAAACAATAATAATTAGTCAGAAAATACCTCGATTTTCTATATATATATACTTTTATACGTATTCTTTCAGAGGTATTATGATGAGAAATTGGTTTTTTTTTAAAATGTTTTTTTTTTTTTCATGAAATCATGAGTTTTTTAAGATCATTTGTACTAAAGTTGTGGTATTTCTAGAATCCATCAAAGATCTCTTAAACCAAGTTAATTCTAGATTGAATACGATTATTTTTAATTTTGGGATATATGGCACTCAAAGTATTTGATTTAAATGAAAAAAAAAAACATTGCATGCGTCCTTTATCTGCATGATAGCTCACTCATTTTACACGCAGAGAAGTACTCATTTTAAAGCTTATTTTGAGCACTATAAAAACCGATTTTCATATCTCTAGCCTAATAATGTTCCTAAAACACTATAAAATACGATTTATTAAGATTTTAATTGATTAATTCTGTTCATTACATGATTTCGTTAAAATGTAATATTTTTGAAGGTGTGTTAGCAACAAAATGATGAAAAACGCAAAAAAGAAACAAATATTCAGTAGGCAGCCAGTAACTTGAAAAGTATTCCTTTTTTGAAAAACATTATTAAATATTTTTCTCGTATAATTAGTTCTTTTATCGATACCCAACGTTTATTTGAAAAAAGTAAAATTACCCACTGAAAAAGAAATGTCATCCACCCGAGAAGTGGTAAAGGAGTCTAAATTGTTTTCACTTCTGAAGAGTAAGATGAAC